GCGGGCGCGGGCGGCCGCTCGGCTCCCGGCTTCAGCAGAGAAGAGCGGACGAACAAAATCCTCGGAGGGGGCGGGGGCCCAGCCCGGGATGTTAAGGGACTTTTTGGAAAGTGGCCACTGTGAAAGCTTAGGGTTTGTTTGTTTGTTTGTTTTTTATTTTTCCGCCACCTCCAGCTCTCGATTTGAACAGGCTTCCCTTTCCCAAGGTGCGTACAGGAACAGGACACCAGGGTTTATAATGTGAACTGTAACAGTCTACTGGTTTATTTTGTAATATTTTTTTTTTAACTGCAGTTTTAACTTGCAGGATGCCACATTCTACGATAGTTCTGATTTTAAATCCACAGCTAGAATCTGTATTTAATTTCATCTTTTTTAACCTCTTGCTTTTTTTGATCTCTATTTATTGATGCGTGTTGCCACGTCGCCATTATGTTTTTACATTGGTAGAATATTAATAAAATACACATCCGAGTGCTCTCGACAGTAATTTGTACCTGCTGACTTGTAGGAAAGCTGGCTATATATGAGTGTGTGTGTATATATATTATATAAATATATACATGTATACATAGATACAATACTGCTTTTTTTATTTTGTCTACGATCTTGAAACAGTCTGACTGAAGCGTGAGGTGAATGCTTGTTCTAGTCCATCCGTTCAGGGTCCGGGTTTCCTCCCCGCGACGGCGCGTGGTGTGAGCATCCACGTCTCTCTTCCTGAAGTCAAAGCAATATTCCTCGGGAAAGGGTCAGGGGAGCGGCCGGACGCAGCCGCGGCGTAGAAACGAGACTTTCGCAGACCCAATCTTGTCCGTAGGCTTGCGGTTGGTGTCCGCTCCGGCCTTATCCTCCTTCGGAGAAACTGTAGTCGCCTTCGGTGCTTCCCGAGCTGTTATTCGACCTGCGGATCTCTAAGGCAAGCGGTTGCTTTTCGGGAACGCGTGGGCCTTCGCGCGGCCCCGGGGGTAGCCGGCAGTAGCGGCTTCGGCAAGCGCGGCCGCCGCGGGGGTGGCAGGGGTTTTGCTCACGAGCTCAGTGCGTTTCTTCTTGTACCTTTTATCCTGTTGACGTGGGATTTTTTTGGAAACTGTCTGTCTGTTAGCAGCCCTGGAACTGATAAAAGGCCTGCCCTCTCCCTCCTGCCTGACACGCAGCGGGTTTCGGGGAGGCAGGAGCCGTTTCAAGAGGTGAGTGACCACCTACCGTGAAACCGATAAACCCTCGTGTTACCCCCCTCGGCGATTTGCCGTCGGGCACACACACACACACAAAAAAAAAAGCTTTAAAGCTTTTAGCTGTCATTAAATTCTGGCTGGCTGCAAAGGAAAGCACACCCACGTTTAGAAACAGAAGGCTTTCCAAATGCTTACGTGCAACTTTTAATAGCAAGGGCTGAAGAGCATCTTAATGCACGAGCTCAGCTCGTCAGTCCCCCGCAAGGTAAGTGAAGGGGCTTGGCTGACCCAGGGATCCACATAGGCGCAGGAGACTCAAAAAGTAGGACAGCGGCAGGGTATGGATCTGCTGTATAGGCGAGACCGCTGCAGCATTGGCCACAGACACTGTTATTTGGAGGCAGTAAATTACCGAGTCTTCTAAAAAAAAAAAAAAAAAAAAGAAAAAAAAAAAAAAAAAAAGAAAAAAAAAAAAAAAAAAAGAAAAAAAAAAAAAAAAAAAGAAAAAAAAAAAAAAAAAAAGAAAAAAAAAAAAAAAAAAAGAAAAAAAAAAAAAAAAAAAGAAAAAAAAAAAAAAAAAAAGAAAAAAAAAAAAAAAAAAAGAAAAAAAAAAAAAAAAAAAGAAAAAAAAAAAAAAAAAAAGAAAAAAAAAAAAAAAAAAAGAAAAAAAAAAAAAAAAAAAGAAAAAAAAAAAAAAAAAAAGAAAAAAAAAAAAAAAAACAACAACAACAACGAAAAAAAACAAAGCTCCTCACCAAATTCAAGCTTGTACATTATTATTTTTGGTTGTTTTTTGAATTTTGAGTTTTATTGTTTTGTATGTAAATATGTGGACCCAGGAACTGTTATTAATGAGCAAAAAGTTACCGTTCAGGGCAGTGATTCTGTTTAATAATCAGACAAAATGTAGACGAGCTTTTTAAAGCCATATAGTTTTAACTCTGTACAGTAGGTACCGGCCTGTATTATTGTAACAATAACTCTAGCGATGTATAGTGTATCTATATAGTTTGGAGTGCCTTCGCTTCCATGATTTTTTGAATTTTATTTCCCTCCCCCCCCTCCCCCCTTTATTAACGACGTCTCCCACCCCAAACCCGCATCTTTGCTCCCTCCCCCCCGCTTTGTAACTCTCTGAGTGCTGTAAGGTTTCGGTGATACCCTGATCAGCAGCGGAACGAAAGGAAACCGTCTCCACCGTCGTTCATTTCATTGGAGCCGTGGCTTTGGTCTGGATGTCTCCAAGTTGCCCACCCTGCCCTCTCCTCCTCCCGCTAGCAGCGACCGGTTTCGTTCGGACACTTGCCCTAGCAGCTCACGGAGACTTTGCTCGTCTCCCCCCCCAGTCCTGCGCCCAGAAGTTGTCTGGGCGGCAGCAGCTTCCAGGAGGCTCGGCCTTTCCACCCTCCCTGCGGCTGTGCCGGGGGCTGCGGCCGGGCCGGCGGGCGGAAAGGACCCCGGCGAGGGGAAACCCCCGCGCCCCGCTGCGCTCGGAGCCCTCCGGCCCCGGAGGAGCGGGGGCATCGCTGTAGGAGACCGCGGTGGTTTTTTCGGCCGGGGGGACTTTCTGCTCCCTTTCTCTTCTCCCTGTTTTTCCCCTAAAGTCGCTTTTCTTTTCTTGAGATGATAAGTTTAACATGACTCTTGATTTCTTGTGCCCAGCACGAAGGCCTTGTTTCTAAAACTAGTTTGCTTGTGTTTTACTACCTTGTTAGTATTCCACATAAGATTGTCTTGAATGGGAAAACACTTAACTCTTTACCAAACCAAAGGTTGCTGTTTTATTTCGAAGCATCTCGTGTTCATTCCAGTGAAGCAGAGGCTGCACTTTCTTTCTGGTGACACGAAGGTCAGTGATGCCAAGCTGTTGGCAACAGTCCGCTCAGAGCTGTTGTCCCTCTCTTCTTTTACTCTCTTTCGGGCTTGTTTTTAACCCAGTCTGGTCTTGATCTGTCCTTTACGTCAGCCCTGCTGTGGCGTGGGTCTCTGAGCCGGACTCGATCGCAGTCCGTCTGCCCCGATGGACACCCGGTCAAGACGCTGGTGTTGTCTAATACGAAACTTATCTACCTTGCTAGGGAAAAAAAAAAAAAAAAAACCTGAAAAAAAAAATGGGTTGGGAGAAAGACCCCCAACCA